TCCACAAGGCCGGTTTAGGGTTTAGGGTTTAGGGTTTAGGGTTTTAGGGTTTAGGGTTTAGAGTTTAGGGTTTTAGGGTTTTGGGTTTAGGGTTTAGAGTTTAGGGTTTAGGGTTTAGGGCCCAAACTTGCAAATCTGCTTCACCCCCCAAAGCCTCGTGCTTGAAGTAATAGGATCGCTCTAAGCCCTTCGAAACACAATGCTCCGGGCCTTATGCCCTTATTTACAAATGTCACCTGGTTTATTATAGGGTTTAGGGTTTAGGATTTAGTCACCTAGTTTACAAGGAGGCAATAAGTATGGTTGTGACGAGGTTATAAGCACCCCGAGCCTCCATGTAGATTGAACCCAAACTCCAAGCCTAAAGGCAATACCCCATGTAATTAAACCCTTATGCTTAGTTCTGCAATCCCCAACCTTTAAACTGTTCGGGTTCTTATAACCTAGTAGTAGTAATCTGACGGTTAACCTTTTATTTCCCTGGCTTATTGGGGAAGCAAATGTAACCCTAAACCCTAAACCCTAAACCCCAAACCCTAAACCCTAAACCCTTAATTACAGAATCCGAAGCGTGTGACCTGACCAACCGGCCAGGCTCTTGCTTTAGGGTGTAGGGGCTTAAGGTTTGGCGGTAGAGGGTTTAGATATAAGGTTTGGCGGTAGAGGGTTTAGGAGTTTTGGGTTTAGGGGCTTAGGGGCTGAGGGTTTGGCGGTGGCAGGTTTGGGGATTTAAGTTTTAGGGCTTGGTTTTAGTTTTCGGCTTTAGTGCTGTTTCTGCCCAGGGCTTGGCAGCGTGAAGGCCTTCGCCACAGAGCTGCGCGAAGGTGACGTCAACATGTCCCTCGGCGGACTCGATCGTTTTGTGTTGACTTGAGTCTATTCCAACCTAGTTGCCTAGTTTGCCTGTAAAGCTTGATTAGAACCCTAATCCCTAAACCTACCAACCCTCAACCGGCCCTTGAGGATAGCTATAAGCTGAACGCTCGGATTCAAACGTGCGCTGCAAGTACTATTATAAGGACATACAAGGACTTTCAATGACGGTTTAAAAGGTTGTTACGTGACTGGGCTTTAGGATTTGCTTGAGTCTGCTTACGCTTTTTAAGTATCCAATTTTTGGGGTGCCTGTCTGTAGGCTTAACCCTGGTTTGGTATGAAAGAGCTCACGGGTTGATCTCAGACCTTGCTTTGCGGTTTAGGGTCTAGGGTTTTAGGGGGTTGGGGTTTAGGGTTTAATGTAGGGGTTTTAGTGTATAGTATAAATATAACAAGGAACCCTAACGGCAATATTGGTAGTTATTCAGGCTCCTATATTTTGTCCATGTCTTTTGGGCTACTGGTGAAGTGGAAAAAACCGCGACTTGGAGTGTCGATCCCGCTCAGAGCCATGCACGTGAGTATAAAGTAAGGGCTTAGGGTTTAGGGCTTACAGGGCTTAGGGTTAAGTGACACCCTCTGTCCGCAGTCCGTAGACTCCAGACAGACCCCGAACCCTAAACCCTAAACCCTGAACCCTAAACCCTAAACCCCTAAACCCTAGACCCCCAAACCCTAGACCCCTACAGCCTAAACCGTCAGACGGCAGAAAGCTTCCAGTCCCTCATCATTCCACACTGCTCGAAGAGCCGCCTTTTGCTATCCGCGGGCCCCGCCAAAAAGCAAAACCACGCCTTGAACCGAAACATGCGAGACACACGGTTTAGGGTCTAGGGTTTCGGGTCCACAGCTTACCTGGGAATTTTAAAACTTGCGGTTTTAAGGGTTCTACCCCTTTGATTAAGGGGTCATAGCCTGTTGTTTTGTATGGTTTGGCGTCACAGGTAAAGCATACCCACCAACCACTCCCCAAGAAGTGAGAAGTGCACAGCGACAACCCTAACCCCTAAACCCTAAACCCTAAACCCGACAAAGGAAGCTCCGTGCTGGTGGCTTCCGAACCTTTGCCCCCGACACGCTGAAGGCAGCGGCGGGCTCTGGGCTTTCACAGGTTTGTTTTGTTTGTTTGGGTTTAATGTAGGGGCCTTAATGATTTGAATAGGTTGTGGGGTCCTTGAAAGTATAGCTATAGCCCACAAACCATCAACACCGAAATGTTAAGACCATGCCCCAGACCGCTTGTTTCCAGCGACGAGAAACAACACAGATTGGGGTCTTGTTTCTCGAATGCCTTAACCTAAAACCGAGCTTGGAAAAATGTGAAGCGAATCTGCAAGAGCATTCCCTTGCATAGTCCCTCATGCTATGCCCTACCCCAAAGACGTTTCCACTAATTCATTGCGGCATCCTTTTCTTGAAGCTCGGCCTTTTACTTCAGCAGAATGACAACTTGGGGCAATTCTTAGAGGATCAGGGGACGTAATAAGTGGGGGTATAGTTCCAGGCTGTTACATTGGGATTATAGTTATAGGTAGATATCAGTCGTTATCCTAAACCCTAAACCCTAAACCCTAAACCCTAAACCCTAAACCCTAAACCCTAGGTAGATATCAGTCGTTATCTTACTTAAAACCCTACCTGTTAAGTCCTCTGAACCTCCAAGTCAGGGCTTCAGCGCGTTTCGAGTTCATCAAGAAGGGCCTGAACGACTAGCAAAATACGCTATCCTAGGGTTTAGGGTTTAGGGTTCTGTAACTATAGTATACAATGCACCTCAAAGTCGTAGTCTGACTGCAGAGGCCCCCTAGAATATTATAATCCTTAGGCACCGCTTTTCAAGAATAATCGAATGTCTGCCTGCAGGCACTCGTAGAAGCTGCTGCGGAAGAAGACCGGGGCAATCCAACGAGCAAAAAACACGCAGCCTGCACTTGGGGTTTAGGGTTTGGGGTTTGGGGTTTAGGGTTTAGGATTTAGGGTTTAGGGTTCACGGTTCAGGGCCTGGGATTTAAGGGTGCGGTGTTGACTGTTGAGTTTTTTCGTGTGCTGCTTTGTGGATTTCGGATGCAGCATAGTTACATGGGAAGCTGTGTACGGCAGGCCCTTAAAACTGAGATTCACGTAAAACCCGAATCCCATCAATCCCAATCTTCAGCCCCAAACCTGATACCCTACACCCAAAACCCTTAAACCCTAAATTCCTGATGCTTACAGACATATTTACGCTCTGGAGATCCTTTTCGGCTTTCAGATTGCAGAGAATCAGGGAACAACACAGGGTTAGGGTTTAGGGTTTAGGGTTTTAGGGTTGAGGGTTTAGAGTGTAGGGTTTAAGGTTTAGGCCGTAACTTTTCGTGGGACCTTCGTATTTCGTGGGACCTTCGTAGCCTATTTCTGAGAAGCCCTCAAGTTGTCTGTCTTAGTGTTCTGTCTTGTTGGGCTACAGGCTCTCCCGGGTAGCTGGTACGGCAGTTCAATCATCCGAGAATTTGCGCTGTCAAGAAAGCCTCAGCCGTCATGTTGTTTTTCGGTGATTACCGTTAAAGCCCGTCGCCCCAAACCTTAAACTTCCAAAAACATAATGAAAAATAAACCTCTTAAGCCCTAAACCCTAAACCCTAAACTCTTAAGCCCGAAACCCCAAACCCCAAATTAAAGCCATGAAGGACCTCCTTCGATTCCTAAACAACCCTAAGCCCTAAACCCCTAAGCCCTAAACCCCTAAGCCCTAATCCCCTAAACCCTAAACCCCTAAGCCCGAATCCCCTAAACCCTACACCCTAAATTTCTAGAAGCCCTACAACTCAGACTTCTGTGCTTTACGTTTCGTCGATGCCACGGTTTAGGCTTTAGGGTTTAGGGTTGGGGTTCTCCAGCTGTCTGGATTCTACTCAACAGGCCAGGGGAGGTAGCAGGGAATACGCGACTTGGGGATAGATAAGTGGAAATGGCTATGGTTATCTTACTTATGGCCCCACTTACTAAGGTAAGTAGTTGCGGGAACCTACTATCTACGGCCAGGGATTTGTTGTGAGGGTGTTTAGAGTTTCGAGCTTCGGATTACAGGCTTTTGAGCTTTAGGGCTTGACGGTTTGAGTGATTTCGGCCTAATGAGGGCCCTCATCTGGGGCTTAAGGGTTTAGGGGTTTAGGGCTTAGGGTTTAGGGGTTTCGCACTTAGAGTTTAGGGTTTAGGGGCTTAGGGATTAGGGTTTAGGGGTTTCGGGTTAAGGGGTTTAGGGTTTAGGGGTTTTTGGTTTTGGGTGTTGATCCTTCGTTTCGAGGAACGCAAGACTTACGTCGGAGGCACGCAGTGCCTTGAGTCTGACAGAGTGCTTTATCGTGAAGTAGGCGTAGGGCAACACATGCTTGGTGCAGTCTGTCCGGGAGTTGTCACACCAGAGCCCGATGAGGAGCCCGTTATATTCCATGAGTTCTGAACAAGACTCGTGGGAACATAGAGCCTCCACTTCCGAAGCCGCGCCCTTGGCGAAATCTTGTCCGGGTGTTCAGCAAGCATGACTCGAGTCCGAGTAGAGGCGGCGCGCTTCAGGACCCAGGTTTAAAACGATACGAGGTCCCTCTAGTAGTACAGGATTGCCTGTTTTCTTTCATCAAAAGCTCTAACGCTTCACACCAAAGGGTCGCACAATTGTCATATAGAAGCCTAGATCGTTACCCATAATATACCTCCAAGCCCGATTCTAGCTATTCCAGCCTCCGTATACCCCGATGATGAAGGGATACCGGAGAACTTGCGCTGTGGGTCTTAGAGTCTGTGCATGTACAGACTCCCCTGCGCATAGAGGAGCCAGAGGAGGACGATGAGGAGGAGGCTTGCGTTTGGGGTTTAAGTCTGGCGTTTAAGTTTGGGACTTATAAACCTTGAACCCTAAACCCTAAACCCAGCTTGGGGTCTGGGTTTCGGGTTTTTGGGTGTTCGGGGTTTGGGCTTCCGGTTTTCCTG